CCCCAAAACCCCAAAACCCCAAAACCCCAAAACCCCAAAACCCCAAAACCCCTTTAATTTATTTATAACTGGATTTTTTTTATTTAGTAAAAAGATTTGTTAAAAATGGAAGCTGACCTTTTACCAGAACTGTAAGCTCTTTTAAGCATTTATATCTAACATGCTCTAGAAAAGAAACTATTTGGGACAAAGATCCAGAACTCTCAAAGAAATCAGTGATTAACATGAGAGGTCTCCATTTGAATGATAAATAGAACTGAATGAAACTACTGTTCGAATCCTGTGAAAGAGGAAAATCATTTCTATTGTTGGGGCATGACTTGTACTAAACTGAGAACTGATGATTATGAAAAAGCATTAGATTTGGGTTGGCAAAGATCAGGCACTTGGTTGTACAGACCTGATATAAAATAAATCTTGCTGTCCTCTTTACACCCCTCGGATTGATATTACCGAATTTAAGATTTCAAAGCAGCAGAAGAAGCATATGAAGAGGTTCAATCAATACATAAATGGGACAAGACTTTCCAAGTCTAAAACCGATGAAGTAATCCTCAAAGATCCTGAAGGTAAGCTTTAGTAATCAGCCATAGAAATCAAGAGAGCTACCAATCAGAAGCAGTACGATTCTTTCCTAGAGAACCTCAAAACTGAGCGTGAAGAAATACGAAATTTCGTCTTCGACTCCATCTTTAACAAAGAAACCTTCATTGACGAGCAAATGACGGATGAGAAGAAGAAAAATGTGAGAAATTTAATGAAGATCGAGGATATTCATGTAGAAGAGGCCACAAATAACCGAGCTCATTACATCTGTGATATAGTCAATGTTGTTATGCAAGAGACCGGGATGATAGAACCCGAAATGAGGGAATTAATTGAGCCTACTATCGACCAACTGCTCTCCATGAATTCCCAGTTTTTGGAGAAGTATGATATCTATCAGGGATATGAGAACCAAGGCAAACTCATTTTTGTATCAAAGAAGTATATCAGTATTCAAAGAGCTAAAGAAGTTATCTTTAATGATGATGAGGAGGCCAAAGTTGATGAAAATAATGAGTTTGGTTATAAAGAGCATGGGGAAGAACAAAAGATCGCACAGGAAGCTGGGAATTCCCGATCTTATACCGAATTCTTCGAGGAGTTCGTTCCAAATATTACAAAAGAGGAAGAAAGAAAGCATAGATATACTGTATCGTTGCACAGAGCAATCTGTTATGAGGAAAATTTGCAGGTTTTCAGGAAATTTGACTATATCAGATTCAATAAGGAAAGAGTTAAGAGTGATTTTGAAAGATTCTTAACCAATAGTCCACTGTATGACCCTAAAGACCCTAACTTTCCTAATTCTAGAACTTTTAGAGATGATGCAAAGATAGATGGAGAAAGAGTATTTATTGATGAAGGAGTTAGTCCAAAGTATTTTGGCTCATATCATATGCATCATAGAATTGATGGCAGGCTAGTTGCTATAAACGTTTTGGATATCACAGAAAATACTATGAGTTCAATCTACACTTTCTATGATCCTGAATACAGTTTCTTATCTTTGGGACAAGTAACTGCTGTGAGGGAAATAGAATACATGTTAAAGATACGTAAGGAGTTCAATAGCTCCCTTAAGTATTATTACATGGGTTATTATGTTCATAATTGCCAAAAGAGTGTATATAAAGAGCATATGCATCCTCAGAACCTTTTGTGTCCAATCACTTACACCTACGTACCCCTGACTCCTGAGGTGAAGGCCAAGATTGCTGCAGAGAAGTTCTGACAACTAAACGAAGAAGCTCAACCTGTTAAAAACAAGAATTTTGCTGAAATTCTTGAATATATTTCTAGCTTCAAACTAATCCATGAAAGGGACAACTTCTTGCATATTAACCAGATCAGGAGTGACATGTCACACACGTTTAGTGAACAACTTGTTGGGCTGTACCAAATAATGGGCAGCTTCCTTTTTGAGACTTTCATATTTGAATATTTGTAGTGAAAGTTCAGCCAAATTCAGAGATTATGGGGTTTTGGGGTTTTGGGGTTTTGGGGTTTTGGGGTTTTGGGG